TACGTGATAAATAATGAATTTTTTTTAGGTTTTATATATATACATTTGAATAACTAAAAAATCGTAAATTACTACATCAATACCATAGAATTCTACTTTAATTTATCAAACATAGTAATTAAGCTGTATTTGGGTCTAAAAAAATATATGAAATTTCGAGCACACTAAAGACACAACCTACCTCATTGAAATCTTGATTTAAAAGAAAGAAATGATGCTAGGTACATTAGAAAGACAGAAAACCCTAGGGGGACATTCTGAGCTTCCGATTGATTATTCATATCATATATATATAGCAGTAAGTGTTTATAAGGGAACATTTCCAAAAATGAAAGGAGGTGAGCAGGGGTGCCACCATGTTTGATTTATTACATGAGTAATATTTCAGCAAATAGAAAATATAAGACCTTATTTTATATTCTAGCCTGTCAATATCTGTAATTTGAGTTTCTAATTCGTATGAAACTATAGACTTGGTATTTTGACTTCACAAACATCTAATATAAACCAGTGCTGCATTCAACATACCACGTGACACACAAAAATTGATGCTTATCTGTGTTTTTTAATATTTACTTTTACAATAACAAATTGAGCAATGTATAGTCCTAAAATTTGAATTATAATCTACAGTTTGATACCAAACTTATTGACATAATTCATGAAATAGTAGTTCAATAAAATTTTGAATGCGAGTCAACAAATGAGATGACATGGCCTTTCATCTGTGAGCCGTATTGAAAGGGCTAAAGAACCCCCACTTGTCAGTTACAGATACGATAAAAGTATAAAAAACATTTTAGTCCACAGTGTCATTGAGAAATCTAACCCTAGTGTGAACCCAAGTACAGCCTGTTGTCACAGAAAGAAATGTGTCAACTTCCAATATGTTAACACCACAACATCCATAGCTGGCCTCATTGGGAAATTTCAAATACAACAATCATTCACTTGCATTTTAACAAGCCTGATATATTGTGTATGCTGGAAAAAGTGCAACATGCTCTACGTTAGTCAAATGGGTCACTAGTTAGGGGATCATTCATATGATCATCTTTCTTATATAAGAAATAATGACACTACAAGCAAAACCCACAAGTAGAGACTTTAATAACCCTTCACATTGTATGTCCAACTTCTCCATACTTGGACTCGCATTTGCTCCATCCACTGTAACTCAAAAAGAACACATGGAAAAACGTTTGATTTTAGATTCTGCACTGTTAATCCCTTTAGATTGAATGAAGAGTTCTCTTTCCTTTAACTTTAACTTTTCCACTTCCCTGCCCTACACTTTTTCTTTACTTTCTCACACTGACATTTATTGGATACAACCTTTTCATTCAATGTTCACACTATTTTTTCTTTCACTTTTGTTACCTATATATTCCTTTCTTTTCACCGTCGTTCTTCACTTCTATTTAGTTCACATATCTTTTAATGTTGTACCCCTTTGAAAAATATTACCCGATGCACATTTTCATTCATCTTCTTACATTGTTGCCTGTATTTTTGTTCTACGTTTCCTTTTTTGTTGTTTATTTACTACGATTAACCTTATACAATTTTTATACTTTTATTATTATTATATTATTTTTATTTCATATGTTACTTCCCTTACCTCATTTATAGCTTCAGGAACATGTTCTAGAGTCTTCGAGCCACGTGTTATTTGTTCTTTCAACCTAACCCTTAGATTAACAGTTTCATTGCCACTGGTAACCTGATGAAGGGCTGTTGCCCAAAACATCGTTTCCTTGTTTTATTAATACTGTTATTTTAATTTGCCGAGTTTTTACCACTACTTTATATTCTAATTTATATGTAGTAAAGTCAACTTGCATTTTTCTGAACTTAATTGTTTAAAATCTTCCATCTTTCTTTCTAAGGTTTTGTAAGGCAAAAAAAAATGCAATATTAGAAACTGCTGTGAAGGTAATTCTTACTGATACCTTTCACTCTGTTAATAAACTTAATATTAGATTTAAACCCCACATATTACAGTATAATATTCACATTTTATTGAGAAGCATAAGAAAGAATAATAATGATGAAAAAAGTAATACATAATATGCTGGTGAAATTCTAACTTATTACACTGAACATCTTAAAATATGTTGTCTAATCATTAAATTACACGAAACTTCAAAAAACCATGTGCATGATACCCACATTACAATGTAAACAGACTAAGAACCCTACATTTTTATGTAGAGTAATAAGATTATTCCACATGCCTAAGCAAATTAACATAGCTAACAATGAATAATAAGTATCACAGACCTAAAAGAAAAACATCTACGAGTCAGTGACCATCACACAGACCTAAATGCCTGAACTCTTGAAACAGTGATGCTTTTTAAGCCTAACAAAAGTGATAAGATTACACTTCACAGCAATTCTTTAATGTACCTTCTCTTAATCAGTCCTTTAGAGATTTCTGATCTTTTTGGACTTCTTTTAATTTAGTCTCAGCTACAATCAATGTATATTTTCTATAGACAACAAGAGCAAAATGTAGCACTTACCTTTTAGCTTTGTCATAATCTTTAATTTGGTAGTATAACCTGGCAAAGCTGTATCCTCTAAGATTTCTCTATAATAATTTAAAAAAAAAACAAAAAAAAAACACAAGTTAAAATTTTGTTACACAAGAATAAAACATGAAATTACACTAATTAGTTTGCACTCAAAGTTCGAAACTACTTGGTATCTGTAACTTGAAGGTACTTGAGAACCTGTTTTGTTAGATATTATGAACTACAAACATTTATTGTAAAATTGTGATCTGCAAAATTTAAATTCCACTTTTTATACTGATGGTATACTTCATTTAGCATACAAGTACACTGACTATCAAATATAAGGTTGTTTTGTTGCTAGAAAAGGAATAGTTATTTATATAAGGCTGATCAAGTCCATTTTTTGAGATAAGAATCAGGAAGTATTTTTATTCATTACACTGACTACATTATTTTAAAAGACGTCTTACACAAGTAACTTGTTTCGATAGTGGCCCTTATTTGCACTTTCTTCAAATTTTAAATGAGAAAGCAACTAATTTTTATGGTTATGATTTTCTCATGGTGGATTGTTCTATTTTTTGTGTCAAAATGAGTGGAGCTCTTTCAAATTTGTGAAGTAGCCATCTTTAAAGCAGTAAAACTTCTGTTTGTTGATAGGCATAAAGCTACACTATGGGCTAATAGTGCTTAGCCTACCATAGGTATTGAAGCCCAATTTTTAATGTGATAATCCTTCAGTTACTGGGACGTGAAAAGTCTTTGAGTTGAGACCTGATTTAATTGTTGACAGATCCTGATTTATCTGGTGTCAAATAGAGTTAAAGCATAACATTAAGTTGTTTAATTATTTGGGTACAAGGAACAACATTTATAACCCACAGTTTAGCATGAATTGGGTAAAAAAAAGCCTTAAAACATTTTTCTGGTAAAAGCTGTCTGGTAAATTTTCCCTTTTTCTATTTTCTTTTCTTTATCAGGTGCTCTTGTAATTGAAATTACTAGGTATTTTCAATTTTTCAGAAACTACTTGTTAATCATCTCAAGTTTAATAGGTGCTTATCAAGTGTTTAACTGGTGTAAAATGTAATATGCAATTTGGAGTTGTATTTGTATGAATAAAAGGAGGTATGAAGACTCTTGGGTAGCCTCATTTTCAGTTCCATGTTCACATCTGCTCCTCCTTTTTTTTTTCAACACATTGTAAAAATTAAGACAATCTGAAGGAGCAACTGTTACAAGAAATTTCAGTTACGAAGAGAAGCCCAAGGATTTGAATTTGATTTTAATGGAACATAGAAGAACTACATTGTAGAAAATGTTTGGTTTACATATTTGAGATTGAAACAAGATAAAAAAACTGGCTATAGGATGTCTAAGTGGTGGAATGAAAAGAAGTTAAAACTTTAATATTTGGAATAGTAAAAATATGCTTCGGGCCATCATTCAAGCTTGTTTTATATCCAAGTTACTTTTCAAGGACTATAAACTTTTAAGGATAAGACAGACAATTTTCCAATTATAAGGAATTTCCATAGTAACAAGTCTTCTAAAAGATGTGATTTATAGCCACCACTATATCTATGGTAAAAAGCTTAATGTTTTTACAACAAATCTCTCTAGATCTGTAAGTTTCCAATGTTTTCTAAACAAGCTTCTTTGACAAAGATTGAATTTAATGAAAAATTTCCAATTCTTAAAGAAACAAGCCATTTTAGGAAATTTCTACCTCTTCAGTAAAACCCTAGTAAAAAACTTGATTAGTACTTCAGCCATTTACATTAATGAATAATATTTTTCTTTAAAATCTCTTTGGGACCAATATTATCTTTAGCTCCTTCTTTAAGTTAAATAAAACATAAAAACCCTTAAAGTAACTTTGGATCTTCTAGACCAAGAGGTTTTCACAACCTCTCTTCATCTTAACACACTCTTTTTGCTCCAATAAACCACAGCATCTCCTATTTTACTATTCTTGGCATTTTTCACTTATTAATTTCTCTGTTCATCCATTTTGTAAAAGGTTTAGTTGGGATGCAATATTTTAGCTCAATCGTGCTAACAAATAATTTCAAGCCCCAAGCTCAACTGACATTTTCACCCATTCAGATCGGCCAATAAATTTGTTTTACAGCTGGACTAATAAATGTTACAAAAGGTTTTAATTAAAACATCAAAGGCAATAATGTTTTGAACACTGACGTTTAGGCAGTGCCACACAATTAACTATTTTAACCATATTATTCCCAGAAGAAAAAACAAGGTAAAAAATTATGCCTTTCCTAACAGAATATTTTACATACTGTGTGAAAACCAACAACTAAACTTCAAGAAAACATTTGTCATTACACAAAGACAGACACACCAACCAGTCAATTTCCTTAAAGTCTGCTAAAATAATAAGACTATAATAACTAATCTACATGAATACATTCTTACATGTACCAAAGACCATGTTATAAGACTCTTACAGCCCACAGAAAACCCAACTAATCAGGATTTACCAAATCTCAAGAACCTTGGCACCTAAAGAAAAAAATGGCCTTGCATCTGAGCATTTTCAGGAAATTTTCTAATTTTAATATTTGTGAAACAATTAAATATTACATAAAATATTGGTAAAATATTTTAATTTGCAATAAATATTAAAAATAACATAAAAGTATTCCAAATTCACTTAATTTGGCAAATACTTAGATTTCCAGTGTTTGACAGCCAGCCAGTCAATAAGCATGGATATGAGCAAATATGCTCTTGGTTGTCAAGACACAGTTGAGACAGTTGGCACTGAAAGTTTCCATATGCATTACGTAATTCTACATCACTCTGAAAAAAAAACTGTAAATTGCATACACACAAAAAAGTGTATTTTGTTTGCCTAAAATTGTATCACCAATTTTCTCATGAAAGGCAGTGATGACTACCACTTTTCTGCTTCGGTGGGTTAGGCTACTGTTATGTCTCTTGGGATTTATTGTTGGGTCCAACATGCCAGAAATATTTAGCAACCTCTACTAAGCTAATTCTCCCTATATATACATATCATTAGTTACCGACTTACTGGAAAGGATTCAGAAGATGAATACTATGATGATTCTGGAAATGGAAAATTTTGCTTATTTTCTCTTCAGTAAAGAGTAAGATGAAAGGATGAAAAAACAAAAGTTTAAGATTTGGAAAAGATATACTACACTACAGTTAATTTTTGTAACAGAGTGACTAGTTTAAGGAATGAATTACTACTGACAGTAGTAAAGGCTGGCACTTTATAATGGAAGTGATAATTTCCTGAAAAATTTTTACTTATCTCTTTCATGAGATAAGAAATCTCATGAAAGAACAAATAGTTCCCTATTGTCCATGTATTATAAGTGTTTCATGACACTGCATACTCTTAGTTGGACTGGTACTTTAAATTAGCTTCATCAATTACTATCTTAATTTTCAATTCTGGTGTATGTAGGTTGCTTGTTTTGACAAGAAGTTGATGAAAATTCCAAGGGTAGCAACCAATGGAAGAGGAGGCCAAATAATGAAAGCAAACTCTTGGGATTGGTAAATGGAAAACCTACAAGTCTTAATTGTATGAGCTCCACAAGACATAACAACCACCTCAATTTATAAACTCCCAAACAATGAAATGATGTCCTTGTACACAACTTTTTTATGATTGTTAGCTACTTGTAGTTGTACTAGGGAGTCCCAGAGAATTATAGCTTCCAGCCATGGAAGCGTGTGGATGCGAAATCGCAGTTGTGAGTATATAAATCTCACATAAATAAAATATTAACTATTTAACACCAAACAACAAATGGCAAATTTCTACAACACCAATACATGTTGAATTTACATGATTTATTTCAAGGCAACCGTACTCCCACTAGTTTGAAATCGGCTTTAAGAAACATCACAAAGATCACTAAAGCCCTTGTCCATTATTTGTCAGCGACCAGTGAGCAAATGTTAAAACCAAAACCAAAGTGTCAGTTCAAATTGACTGGACCAATAAGGATCAGTGATACATCAAATGAGAGCTCTCTTCATGCTCTACTTTTGTCTGGCCAGTTTCATTGAATCCAGAAGTATTTGCTATTTGAAAACACACAAATAAAACTTTAAAACCATTTAAAATTCTTTTTAATTATTGAATTGATAAAAATAAGGATACACAATAAACTTGGTGTTGCGGACTACATAATGAATAAACTGATACATACAGATGTCTGCCCAAATCGAACAGACAGCATGTCAAATGATAAATGGGGTTTGTAAAGAGCCTATATGTTGCCCTGGTAACATGTTACTTTATGTCATATCGTTGATCATGTTTTCCTGACAACAGTTTGCTATACGTCATATCATTGGGTGTAGCTATGAATGATGCATCAATTACATCATGACATGATGTAGAATGGGTAAAGGTTACTACTGATACATACCTGTCAATCACAGTATTTCAAGATTACAACCAATGCGATTATAAAATCTCACCTATTCTTTCATTGGTACATAAGTAAGCTCATACTTCATTATCAACATTTGATTATTGACAATTTTCATTTTATTCATCCATATAATATGAATACACATGTATGAGTTTGAAATGAATGGACGTTAATGGGACTACATTTGATCTTGTCTTGACACGGGTGTCATGCAGTATCAAGTTACTAGGTAAAGCGACAAATCATTGACATTTTGTTAACATCTTTCCAATGGGAAGGTAGCATGGAGCAAAAGGTACATTTACAGTTGTGATTTTTCTTTTTCATTAATGAACTAAATAAATGAAACTGCAGTGTAAATCTACTAATTTGTGACTGTGAAATCCAATGGTGTCTCTTTTTTTTTGTTATGTTTATTATTTAAATGACACTGAAACTCCCTAGTTGTACTCTGACTCTGAGTTACGTGAAATTTTGTTAAACAAAAATGAAACATAGGCTTTTGGGGGGGGGGGGTAAAATAAATGAATTAATACGTTGTAAACAAACTGATTAATAAATTAATTCGAAAAACTCTAGTTTTGCAATCTCCCCAGTATCTAACAAACACTAACAGTGAAACACGTAGTTTGGTCATAAAAACTACGAGATATCGAAAAGTAAAAATAAAAAATTAAGCTATACTTTCTTTTTAATTAACGAGTTAATCCTAACTTCGAACACTAACAACTATGAAACAGATATGAGATAACACAATATAACTTATGTATCACACAATAAAATATTGAGAATTCTATCCAAAGACTCGGCCCAACTTAAGAAGTGTTATCGTTACGTTACGGTTAAGCCTATTAGTATTACTTTTTAAAAACACAACGGAGTACTTTGGTAGGCTGGGGTTAAAAGTTCAAAACGATAAAATTAACTTTACAGGTTAAACTTACTTCATTTTCATTGTTTATCTTATTTAAAATATCTGCTACATGCTTATCCACTTCCTTCTTTGAACGGAACATTTCGAAGTTGTATTATAAAATTACATGCACTAAGAAATGAGACGACAGTTACATAAAACGTTCGTAATAGGAATACTACTTTCTAGGCCATTATAGTCTTAGTTCCATTATCAATCACTTGACCAAGGAAAACACCGGGGAAATGCGCAGTAATTTATTTGGTCCAATGTGAGGCGCTCTCGGGTTATTAAAAGTTACTATATTATTTATTACTTTTTCTATACTTTCACAAACATTATAATCTTTAAAATTAACAATATTATATTGGAATAAGAACAGAATAATTTCGAAGCACACAATTTCATTTTGGTTATATTCGCTCTCAGTTGTTTGAATGAAAAATATTGCGATGTCTATATAACGCCCCAATAATCATACAAAATTCTAAAAAATTATCCGGATACGTACACTTGTGTCCAAAAGTAAAGAACAAACAGTTTGTCGAGCACTTAAGATATGTTCCTTAACTTTCGGTCAGCATTGTATTTATATACATATTGTTATGTCTCTGGTCGTTAGTTATTTTTCCGTAAAAATTATTTCCGAAGAAACTTTAGCGATACAAGTCCTTTGTTAAATAAAACTGGTTTATTATTTCTGAATACAACTTTGCAATACATTTCATTTCCACGGTCACGCTATAACAAACGCTATAATTCACAACGAACGAACGATTCACATGCTTGACTCAATTGTCGTCTCTATCTCTGTCTGCAATTCAATTCCCTTTGTTGCCGTCAC